ACCCTTTGCTCGTCGTCTGGGTCTTCCAGCCAACATCGGAACAAAAAACACCAAAAAGCTTAAGACCAAAATTGAAAACACGCGTTTTGACAGACATTAATAACACACATCCTCAAACGACAATACTGTCAAGAAAAAGGAACACAAACTGTCCCCGGCTCTTCATCAAGCACTCCCATCCAATGCTCAGGTCAACAGTTGTGCCACGGTTTTGTTGCGCCTCGCTGAGGTGGTTCCATTCCCACACGTTGATGTGCACCAGTTGCACACCCATCCTGGGCAAAGAAATCCAGCCTTGAATGTTTTTCCAGTTTCCAACTCCATGAAAAACCAGGTTTCCTTGCCAAAAACGTTCATGTTTCTTCTGTTTCTTCAACTTTCCCTACAAAATCCGAGGTGTACAAGTCCACTTCAGCCGGCGGATCTTGGCCGATCCATGAGACAAATGCAGAACCCCCCCACTTCTTGCCCAGCTCCTCTGCAAGAGCTTGTGCCGAAACTTCGTGGCCATGGTCAGCTGGGGTGTCCGTTCCTCCTCCATGCCCAACGAAACTCGAGGCGAACGAACCGCCTCAAAGGAAGGAAGGAAGGAGGTGGACAACTGCAACATGTAAAACCTCCTCTCCAAATACTCCTTGATGTGGTGATTGAGACGGTGCTTTTAGGATGTCCGAGTTGGACTCCTTTGCTCAAAGTGGGGGCAAACGATCCAGGGAGGAGTTGAACCTCCAACTTCGTGCTTGTCAAGCAGGTGCAGCCCACCAGTGAAGGCAGGCAGGAACAGTTTGCAAAGACGACGCCTTACCCATTAGGCCACTGGATCAACTGCTTGGGTGGGGAGTGCCATTGAGATCATTTTGAGTCCTCGATCTTCCAGGGCTCTTTCTGCGAAGAAACCAGCAGCTAGCAACAAAATCATTACTCGCATAATGTCTAAGAAGCCTTAATAAAAGGTTCACTTATTGCTTCTACACTGGACATTCTGGCTGGTTTAGAGCTTCTTTGCCCATCCTGTCGAAGAGCGCAGTAGGCGTCAGCTTCATTGCACTCGTAAACCTGGATGTGGATGGGAACCATCAACCAGAAAAGGACATGGGTTATAAATACATATAAATACCATCACGGAGGCCATCACTATTAGGTTCCTTTAAGTAATTAGCCCATAAAAATGACTCCCTCCCTTCACTCGTCAAACTCAATGCCAGCATCAACGGTCTCCAATAATTGATTGCTACCTTCCAGCCGAGTCTCCACGGACCTACAAAGGCCATGCTGCTTTTCTCATGAGGGTCAAAACCACACACGCACGTACTGCATTATCTAGAGTATTGCAGCTCTTGCAATCACAGCTACACTAGGGTCCAATTCCAGTGCCGTAAGGGTGTTTCCACTTAATCAAGCCAAGCAACCACCTGCTCCCCGTGAATATTCTTGGCCTGGCAAAAGCGCCAACATGGAAGGCATTGGTGTCATCTCAGGGATGGGAACATGATGCATCAGGATGCCGTGTGGGTGAAACTGGAGAACTTCCAAAAGCAGTTTGCATCAACCACGGATAATCGATCTGTACTGCCTTTAAACAAAGGCCCCCCCAGTCATATCCAGCTCAAGTTCGGCCCACAGGCTTTTGGTCCGTTCGATGCATTGTGCACCATGACTCATGCAGAGATTAAGGCCAGGCTTTTGGTCCATTGACCAGATTCTCGTGAGTCATGGAGAAACTTTTAGTAAGTCAGTGGCAGCCAAGCTGGATTCCTCGATGAAGGCGGCAGCCGATGCGTTCCTCGATGTTCCTCGAGCCTTTTGCGGTAAGATCAAGGGTCTCAACTGATTGAGCAAGCTAGACCTGTAATGTAGACTCTTGGTTAGTAAACCCCTGATAGAAGGAGGTGTTTGTTCAATCCAAATGGGGAGGGTTCTTAATCAAGAGTCTATACATAATTTGGGAAATGGCCAGTCTTGGACATCAGCCCATCAGCCACTTTGCCTTTGTCGGGCAGCCTGTAAGCTTCCGATGGACACTCTGATCATGCAACTGCATGGCGATTGGAAACATTAAAATTGCCCATATTTAATATCTACGAGATTCGTTATATTCGTTCTGGGGTAGAAAGAGGTATGTTGTGCCTTCTTTCTGCTGTTAGCTGCCATTGCAGTGGTGAACGAGAAACTCCTTCCCTTCTTCACCACGGACCCTCTCCCCAGCCCCCTCAGTTTGCAGGGCTGCACCACGCTTTCATGCGGCCTGAAGGAGGTGAAGTTCTAAAGGCCCTGCCATGGCGGTCCAGGTATTGACGCCCAGCTGATCTAAGACCTGTGCCACCTGTGGACAGCAGTGGACAGGAGCGGCAGAGTCGCCCTTGCACTTCGACGGAGTGCTCCATCGGGCATGTACATGGCTCAATTGCTCAGCCGTACGGTATATAAACACAACCTCAATATGTTTCCCACGCGTTTCAGTGAGCTAGTCTGAAAAACAACCAAAAACGGATTACACTCAAATTCTCAGTATCCTCTCCTCTCTCCTTCATCTCACTCTCATCTCTCCACCCTCTGCGCCGGTTGTTATTCCGCACCTCCGCAGCAAAGCCCACGGGTGCCGCGTGCGTCATCGCGGCGCCGCGCTCGTGCAGGCGATCCAAGTAGCTTCGCACCTTTCCACCGACCGAGACACCGTGCCTTCCACCGTGGCACTCATGGTGGACATCATTAAACAGCGAACGGTTCTGGAGTGGCCGCATGGACATCAAACGAGCATAATATTATCCAACAAACGTAGAAGATCGCAACCGAGTAATATACTGAAGTAATCAAGGCAAAGCACGAAGTCACTGCAAAGCAAACGGCACACATACACAAGTAACACCGTAGCAACTGCAGCCTCCTTTTCCTATAGGTAGGAATCATATAGAAAACATGATGATATAAGATTGTACAAGTACGAACATATGTCTCTCGCTTCCGAGTATTCGAATTCTCTTAGAACAAAAACACTCAGCCCATTTTGGGTCACGAGAACTCGTCTGACTCGGTCACTTCCGCCTCCGTGGGGAGCGAGGAGAAGAAGGCCCAGGTCTCCTTCCGCACCGAGGCCTCAGCGAAGCGGCGAGCGGCGGAGCACCGGTCGACCGGTGGCGGGTGGGTTTTGGTGGGAAACGATCTGGTTTGGTGGTGTGAAAGCCGTAAAACAATGGTTGTTCAGGAAAGGCGATGTTCAAAAAATAGGTGGTGGGACTTCTATAGGGTATGCCATATTGATACCGTATGAACTCTTTCGATGAACATGTCATCTTCCAAGTTGATGGACATGAACGCGCGGAATGAGGAGACAATTCTGCGGATCCCACAAAACTTATGCCACTCATGTATCAAATCAGAATAGATTTGGTCTTGTTGCGACTTCCTGCTTTAGAGATACAAAATGGTTGCAACTCAATATCAGGCTCACAAACATAGTCTACATAGTGTTTAATTATATCTGGTGTATGGCGGCCAGTTCGTTGTGGTTCTGTACAGGAAGGTTCCTCCAAAAGACAAGTAACATGTCTATATTCCTAGCCAACATGGGTCCAAAGGCCCTATCAAGGCTCGATTTCCGATGCTTCTTCGATGTCCGACATCAAGGTCTTTTTAAACCCCACGGCTCGGCCTCGATGACGAAGATGTTTTTAAAGGACTTCGCGCGGCGCCTGAAGAACGTCAGACTCTCAGACCACTGCCAAACATCACGGCAGTTCTTCGTGTTTTTTCATTTGTGAAGGTTTTCTTCAAACTGCTGGTGTGTTCAAAGGATATATTGGCTATCTCACCATCCCAAGTGCAGGGCGCAGTGTAATTATATTATCTGTCTTCGCCTGCTGGCATGGAGAAATCTCCACTTTCCTTCCAGAAAACTGGAACTTCGAGACATCAGAAAGCCGAAGTAAATATATGACTTTGTGCGCTGAAATGTTCTACCGCGCATCTTCCATCATCCATCACTTGGATCTTGGTAAAACAGGGAGATTCCCAGACTCCAGCACCATCAACGAAGGGGAGATCCAGGAACACACATCTTGATAGACAGGACTCTTGTTCGAACTAAAGCAAAGCCGCGAATTCCTCACATTTACCGACCAAAGCCTGCTAAAATACGACCAGGGTCCTAGGCGCAAAGGGAACACGTTCATTGTTCAGGAAGGAATTGTTACTTTCATCACCTCTGTCCTGACTTGCATCCACACGGCATTCGCGTGCGTTTTAGCGCCCCAGACGGCGCCTGTAGACCTCTGTGTCTTGTTGGTACTGTGCAATGTCCGGAGCCGCTGTAGCCTGCTGAGGCGAAGGGGAGGCTGGGAGGGGATTTCAACCACCTGAGGTGGAACAAGGATAACACATGACAAAGGTGTTATCTACCAGGAAGTCGGCGCTATCCCGTGCTTTCAAAAAGCTTGGACCTAGGTGTTCACTGAAGAAACACGTCTTTTCGCTGTCCCATGGCAACTGGTATCATGATTCTGATCAACAGTATACTTGAGCTATGAATCCAAAGGTGCCTTCTCTTTGGGTGCACCGTTTGTCCAAGCAGCCGTTGAAGACCAGTTGCAAGAAACTGGGCACTTATCTGAAGAGGTCATAGATCCATCCGACCACAATCCTGTGTAGGCTTCACCTGCAAAGCGGTTTAGGCGCGCCTCTGGTGCCATCAGGGGGGGCACCAGCATCGACCTGCACCGCGCCCAGAGGACCAACCAGTTGGTCGAGGACTTGGTCACGTGGTGTAACGTTGCGGCCAAAATGACAGATTAAATATATTTAAGTAATATAGATGGGCCAAAATCACAGACAACTTGTATTGATTCTAATACAACACTGCACCGACAGAATCCACACCGCACCCCAACTCGTTCTCCGCAAACAGTACCACCGACATGATAAGTTCATCGGCGCAACGATCCTTCAGGCCCTTTTGATCCCGGCAGACGCCACGATGGTTCTGGAGAGTTTTTTCTTGGGGCCAGTTGATCAAAACACCAAAACACGGAAATGGGCGCAAATCTGCCACTGTCTGCCACATTCTGCCAAATCAAACAGAAACGAGTATATAACGTAGAAGCCAGTGCTTGTGACGCTTGTGTTAACAAAAACTCTCCATATATGCCTAAGAATTTGGGCCCGTACCCCTGCGTTTGGGCTCCCAAAAAGGGGAACATATAACAATCAACAAGCCTCGCAATGCCTCCCAACATCGATATCAAAAAAAAAACAACCGAAACCCCACCACCGAAACCTCCGTTCCGAACCTCTCCCGCACTAGACTCCGACCGCCTCCCGCCCCCCGGGGGTCCGCCGAGCGAAGGCTCCGACCTCGGCGCAGCGCTCCAGAAAGGCCCGGCGGAGCGCATCGGGCAGGAGCCTCGGCCCGTGCGCAGCGGTGTCACCGCACGAAACGGGCTGCCAGCGGGGTCCACACTGAGACCCGTTCCTGTTTGAGACAAGGGAATCAGCTATCAGAGGGCTTGTGGGTATAGGGAGCTAGCTTTCATCTTTCCAAAGCAGATTCTGAGATGTGGTGGAAAAGAAACCACTGTGAGGGTGTTGTGTCACTAAGAGCAGGGACTTTTTGGAATGTAGATGTGAGTGGTCAGCACAGCTGCTTCGTTCACCAAGGGATCATTTGAACAAAAAGGCTCCTCAGCTGAGTACCCCTCAGCTGAGTAGCAGTCCTCATCTTGCAACGGATCTAAGGATCCGTCGTTCCTCTTTTTTTGCTATCATATGCCTGAGATAAAACAGCGTCCCTGGGTCCTAGACAGTATACCGCAAACTTGCTGCCCAAAAAGGAACTACCCTTATCTACCCTCAGCTTTCGTCTCAGAAAAAAAAACAATCTAGAGAATACATGACTGCATAGGGCCATTGCAAAATTGCAATCATAATAAGCCCTGGAATAATAACCTGAAAACCTGAAAACTCCTGGGTTGTAGAGGAAAATCTACTTCCAAGGGTCCTAGCAAGTCCTCGCAGCCTGAGCATCTTGGCGATCCCGCCACTCCATTGCTCCAACCAACCCAGAAAGAACAAGCATGAAGGACCTCCAGGCTTCCCACAAGACCTCCAGGTGTTACCGGTCGCACTGGTCAGACCGTGACAAGAAGCGGAGAGGCCGCTAAGCAAGGTGTCACCAACTCGCATTCCTCCTGGTCTCGCCGGTCGATAAAGGAGTGGATTCCAAAGCACTTATGAAAGGATTCTGAATGCTGAGTTGTTTCACATCGATCTTACCTGCAAAACGGAAGTTGGGCAATGTATGGCAATGCATCTGGCCAGTTGTAGGAGGTTGTCGACTCTTCTTTGCTGAAGGCAACCCCGATTCCCACTGATCCCAACTGTTTATAGAGTTTTGAATCCACTTCACTATTTTGTTACCAATGAAGTTCTGCAACTGAGTACCTATGCAGCTTGAACAAAACAGAAGCAACATTCTACAGTGGGCCATCAGAGTAGATGGCACAGACCCCGAGATGTTTTTTTAGACGGGGGTCCATATAAAATACATCTTGGGGTCTGTGCCATCTACTCTCAATCCACTATGTAGAGGGAATCTGAGGCAATGCCAGGTCGCATGAGTCACATAAGATTGAACTATTATATATCCTGAGATATCTTGAGAACTGTTCCATGCTTCATATAAAAACTCCATTTCAATTTGAGAGCGAAACCGTGCCACTTGGAGTTGAGCACCCCTCCATCTTTAAACCAATCATTGAATACTGTGTTGAAAACTCTTCGTAGCTCACAGTTCACATGGGTTTGTAAAGGCCCCACAAGCGAACTCAGCCTTCATGACTGCCACGCACTTGCACTGGGAAGGGAGACAGGAATTACTGGTGGGCATTGGGTCTAAACCACTGGCACTGGATGATGTTTGTTGAGAACCCTTGTGAAAGTAGACATAAAGTTTTCTCTGCCGTGGAAATGTACACCCGAGGCTTCCAAAAACAAAAAACACAACAAACGGGAAACAATAACACAAAAAACACACTATGTCCTGCATGTTTGCAGGAAAAATCAGGAGAATCACCCTTACTTTCATTACAACGACTCCTGCGACCTATCAAAAGGTCGGTGCATTTCACTACCAGAACCAGAACCTTTTTTTCCCCCCACGTGCTGCGTCTATGACCGGAACCGTACCTGGGTGAAGTTGGGGATGGCAATGGCGATCTGCTCCTGGACAAGAATGCTACTAGTAGTTCGTGGCATTACTACTAGTAACAAGAAACTACTAGGAACAAAGGGCATCGCTACTAGTAGCAAGAAACTATTAGTAGCTGCTTTCAGGATCTTTCAGGGTGCGAAAACGTGGTTTACATTCGAGTGACCTGATGGCAACAAGTGAGAGTGAGGGAGAAAAGAGTCTGAAATCCCACAATTCACACGAACTCAAAGGCCAGGAATGGCCACAAGTTATTTCTTGTCAAGTTAGACACCCATGAACTCATCCAGAACTCAAACCTCATGGTTTGATCTGAGCTAGCCATGGTCACCCATGAAAAAAAAACTTCACCACAACAACCCCAAAGCGTCTTTCTTGTCGTCTGTATCGTTTTTTCCGGTGCACCCAGCATTTGTTTTGAATGCCAGTTTCGGTGCTCTCACCGAGATTCTGAGGGGGGGAACTTCAGCAGCAATTTGACAATGGGCCCCCGAGGAGCTGAATGTGTTTGATGTAAAGAAAACTGAGAAAACAGTTTGGCACATCTGTGAAAAACTTACCGCTTGGCCAGTTGGAGATTCGCGCCCTCAAACCAAAAAGAATTGTCAAGAATTCAGCATGATAAGTCGACGAAACGACAGAGTTGAAGGGTCCCATCAGGGACACAAACCGGTCAATCCAAAGTTAGAAAAAATTAATTATCTGGTTATTGCATGTACAAATTCTAATTGTACAATATTAAAAACGAAATCATAAGGAACAATAGATCGTCATGTTATATAATATGTATGTACATATAGGCAAAAACGTGTATAGCAAATCTATATATATATATGGCACCCCCCAAAAAAAATCGGGAGGTGGGGGGGTACCAACAAATCTGAATCTGCAATGTGAATGTGGCATCTGATCAAAGCGCTAAATGAACATCCTCCTACATCTGATCAAACATATGTATAAACTATATATTGCTACTTTTTTGGAGCCTGCCAAGGAATTTGCAACCCTTGCTGCACGTCATATTGAAAATTCCCTGGCAGGCTCAGAAAATCAACAATGTCAAAAACCCATGGCCACAAAACCCTGGCAGTCAAAAAAAATCAAAAGTTGGAGGATCTATGGGGACTCTGGGGGGGTTGTATTTTTTTTGAGCCTGCCAGTGTTTTTGCAAGGTGGTGTAAACCAATGCAGCAAAAACACTGGCATGCCCAAAAAGTAAAGAATATATACCCCCAAAGCCCCCATAGATCCTAAAACTGTTGTTTTTATATTTTTGAGCCTGCCAGTGTTTTGTGACTATTGGGTGTTGAATTTTGTTTTTTTGAGCCTGCCAGTGTTTTGCAAGGTCGGGTAGACCAAAAAATTGCCAATTCCTTGGCAGGCTCATAAAAGGAAAATCATATACCCCCCCAAAAAGTTCCTATAGATGCTAAATTGTTTGAACCTGCCAGGGTTTTGTGACTATGGGCCATTGAATTTTTTGTTTTTTTTTGAGCCTGCCAGGGAATTTGACATCTCTGCTCCATCTGGCCTAGCGAATTCATCGGCATGCTGACAAGATACGAAAATCTACCCCTGTACTGGTATAGACAGAAAGACCTTTGGGAAGCGACCGGAAAGCTTTGCACTTGGGAAATGAGAAATTTCCTAAGAACAGCGTAGTGCACGTTGATCGATGATGAGATCTGCAACGCAAAATGAGCTGTTTGTGCCAATGCATCCAAAGGCTTCATCTACCACTATCACATGGTTTGTTGTACATCTGCTTGGCCATCTACTAGAACAAATCTGCTTTCAATACATCTGCTTTATCATCAAGGACAACTCTCACATACAAGCAGGAAATTTGTCTGAAAACGTTGTTTTTTTTGGGGTAGCACATATATATGTATACATATACATAGCATTAAATTGAGTTATACATGAAGCATTTTCCCGATCAATCGCCTTTTGTTTCCCGTTTCAAACACTCCGGGTAAGGGGCTCCAGGTCTTACATCATCCCCTCCAGTAATTTTTGTCTATATAATGGATTTGGGTTTTGTGGGGGTGAATTTTGTGAATTTCCTTCCATCTCGCTTTTGAATTGTTTTTTCTCTTTGCAGGCCACATTCCCAGTGCACCTGCACCATAGCCTGAAAATGGGTATATGGTATACACACCGAAAGCCGTGGTATTTAACCAGTTATGATCTTCGAAGGTTGCGCCAAGAGGAATATCAAGTGACCATACTAAAAAACATGCGACAAGTCTGATGAAATTGTGGAAAGGCGAAGGTATTTGGGTGTAATCATGGGCCAGAACACCCAGAAAGGAAGGGCCTCACTCAAGACATAAAACAAATTCCGAAAGAAATCCACACCCAGCCATGTGCTGGGCACCGTCTGTCCTGGTAGACGTCCATGAACCGACTGGGGTGTTTCGCCCCAAGCTGCGCCAAAGAGTTCCTAGCCGGAACAATCACGTCAAGTGGCAAGCCGCGCAGAAGATTCTGGTGAATCTGCCACTCA